ATTCCTGACTTATAAGTACCAAATTAAAAACTTGTCAACTTAAATTATTCTAAACAGTACTTGCAAGGTGTACGGCTTGCTCCAATTTATTTCTCTTCTCACATAAAACCGTACAGGATGAATGAAGATTTAATAGCCAGGTAAAATTTGCGCAATTAGTAAATCACACTTGGAAAGCATCTACATTAGTTACATTATTATTGTGCTTCCATTGGATTTGGTCCCCAGAACAGTAGCCCAGAAGGCTTCAGAAATTTTGAGTTGGAAAGCCTTTGAGCTATAGAGATTTTGATTTCAAGGGCCTAAATAAAGTCCAGACAGAGATGAAGCAATTTGGACACAGATCAGTTTTTGATAAATGGAGGCTCAAGTTTGCAAGTTATAGATCCAAAGGTATGTAATTTGAGGTAAAGGCTTGATTGATTTGTGGTCCTTCATCCCTTCTTCATGCATGTACTTATACAGGGGAGTATTTTGGGGATACAAAAGCAATCATTTGTTTTGTAAACAGCATTGGTAATTTCAGAAAATTTACCCTAGATTTTTGAGCAAGTATGTCAAGACTACTAATTGCTGCACTACTGTAAAAGGATTGGCTTTCAAGCTTTGACACATTTTGATAAAGATCCAATAGAGTTTTGAAAATTTAATTTATTTTACTCCCATAGCCCCATCATTTGGCAACACTTCAATGCTGTGCAAGAGTGCAACATACTCTCTGATGCCCATTTAAGTGCATTTTTTCATGCAATAAATTCAACCATTAAAACAGTGCCAAACATAGAATTCAGTTAGTTGATTAGGCACCCTGTGTGACTTCTGTCTGTCCCCAACAGTGAAGAATGACCTGGAAGAGATTTATTTCGAGGACAGAGACAGCCTTATTTCTGACATCAAAGATCAGCTTAATCAATCAACAGAACTCAATTTCTGTCACTGTTTTTATCTGTGCGTTGCTTGGTATTGCTTGAAAAAATTAATTAAAATCGGATGGAGATTATTTTGGACAGCACTGAAGTGTTTTCAAATGATGCGTCTGTATCAGTCAAATTGTTGTTTGAGATTGTTGAAACTACGTTGGATCTGTTTCAAAAAGTCTCAAAATCTATGAACCAACCCTCGTTTATGAATGAATAAGACCATATTTGAAGCACTCTCTTTTTGTGAGTCGTGCACTCTCCCAGTAAATCAGTTTTCATTGTGTATAAGGCTGTTTCCAGATTTTCCCGAGTTTTACCCATTCAATAACGCGATATACACGCACGGCACATCAATTCACAATCAATTATTAAATGCTATAGTGACACTTGCAGCGTCCGATTCTTGAATATGGACCAGGAAATATATAAGCAGTGCTAGACAAGAAAAAAAATATATAATCTCGGAATGTGAAAATTATTCGACTTTTCCGGAATATATAGATCAGAGCTTTTGCCACGTGAACACGAGTCCGGATTGGTCGAAAAAATGGTTGGATCTTTGTTCTCGGCTAATGAGTTTCCAGCGACCTTCGGCTTCTAAAGATTCCGCATGCGGTTCCAATCGGCGATAATCGGGCACGCTTTGCAAAAATTCCTCTCGCATGCAAATCACGACGTAACCTCCTGAAAAGAGAAATCTACAAATTAATGTGGTTCTTTTCGTGGGTGGAAGGGTGAAACAAACGTTGTAGGAGGCAAACAAGAACTTTACCGGCTAAGTTGTTCTCGTAAAAAAAAAAAAATCTAAAAAACTTGTGGAAATATTTTTGACTTATATTTGCAATCGAGATTCCAGCGGGATTTTTCAAGACCAGATTTAACCCTGAAGTACCGTAAGTACTGTACATACAAATAAATTGCTTATTTTTATTGGTAACTTGTAACTCAAAATATTTCGTCAATGATGTTCCATCAACCGGATCCTTGTCAGCACTCACTTGAGGAATGAAATAAAATGCAAAATCATATGGTTTAAAAAACACGTTATTTTCTTATTCTGAATCTTTATGCCCAAAATTATTTGATAGATCAGATGCTTTCGTTAGATGTCCAGATTTATTTATGCAGGATTTCTTTTTTTTAAACAAGATAACACGTCCATTTGTTTTGGAGATACAGAACAACGGTTTGAAAATCAGTGCTCAATTTTCTTTGGATTGCTGTAATTTCTCACTTTAGCCTGAATGTGGATGATTTGGAATATTAAAATTGTTGAATAATCCTCTTGAAAAACAAAGTCACAGAAACCTGATTTCACTTCATATCGCCACAAAAATTAATTTATTGATACTCCGGAACACTACACTGTATACAGTGGGGTCTCGGTTAACAAGCTTGATCTATTCCTCAGCAAAATTTTGAAACAAAATAGTTTGTTGACCAAATCGAATTTTTCCATGAGAAAGTCCTGGAATAATTTAATTGGCTCGAGAAATTCGAAAATGTACATGGAAATCAATAAAATGCTCACCTAAACTTTTTACTGGGCATGAAATCCAAGAATATTAATTTCAAAATAAAATTAGAAGAGAAGCTCAAAGAAGTGTTGATGAAGACAGGAGCCTAAGAAGGATAGGGCAGATGGAGTCAACACTTTCTACCAGAAAAAAATTAAACCAGTAAATATATTTGGGGCCCACTTAGTCCATCCTTTCACATAATTCAATCCATTTGCATTTCTGTACACTCCTTCCTGCGATAATCTCAACTGTCTTCAGTCGGAAGCAAATTGAGAGAACTCTTATTAAGGAATAATTATGCAAAAATTCAGTGGAAATCTTTGAATAACAGTCAAAAGCATATATACAAGAATTATGTTAGTTTTTAATGCCGTTGTCAATCCTTTAGAAGATCAAGAAATATCTGCTGGGAAATATGTGGTGTCAATTTCAGACCCAAGGTGGTGGGCATTTTTGGGAGGCCAGCCTTTGCAATCAAATTTTGTAAAGCAAGTCATTGTTATCTAAGGCAGCTGAGGCTAAAATTCAAAGTTTGTTATCAAAATATTTTATTAACCAGGCTATTTTTTTAAACAAGACCCAACTGTAGTAGCATTACTGCTGTAACTGGTACAGCTGTAATGCTACTACTGGAATCAGAGAGACGTTGTTGCCAAAATAATCAAAAGCCTAAAATCAAACTATATACCTACAAAAATACAAAGCAAGAAGATTTAAATAAAGTGTTAAGCTATAAAAAACCCTTGAAAATCAGAAGACCATGAACAGATTTTAAGAAATTGGACATCAAGAGCCTTTTCTATAATACCCGGAGAAAAAAATAAACTATATCCACTACTACTTTTTCGACACTTTGAGAAGAAGGTGTTGAATAAATTTGTTTCCAAAACCTTGCACTTCTTTACTCTAATGCTTCAACAACAACAAATGTTACAACTTATTCAAGATCGCAGGAGTCTCAATCTTTTGCAACCTGCCGTATTTCGTGTGTGCTTTAATTTCCCACTTAAACCACATTAAAATACCCCTTTGCCAGTTGGGATCTTGAAAATAAGTTCTAAGCTGAAAATAAATTTTAATTTTTCGAGTTTCAAGAAACTGCGAAAAGATTCGTCCCGAAAAAATTATAATGACTTTTTATACGGGACTTTGATATTGCCCCAAAAGAAATAAAATATGATACGAAATCGGAACCTTTTTTTGTAACCCTGAGCATCTCATCCAAGGCAGTGATTGGCAAATGTCCCTCCACAAATCCTCCAGACATGGTAGTCAAGTCGTAAGTGTTTTCCGCAATAACCGTCTCATGGTCTCCCACTGTGTCCTTTATTTTAGCACACAAGCAAGTAAAAAAAAATTTAGGATCACGAAATTGCAAAATATGCATTTTTAGACATTGAAGTGTGCAATTTCAGAAATTGTTTTTCACCTGGTATATATTTTTGTAATGCCCTTTGCTGCTCAAAACCTTCAGCATGTCTGATGACGCATCCAGTGCATCGATTTCAGTGAATCCCATGTCAGCTAACTGTAAAAAAATAAACGAGATAATCAACTTTTGTTTTGATTTTTCGTGAAAATTAATCTTCCAAATGCAAACAGCACTAGGTGAATTCAAAAGTTCAGAGTTTATGATTCGTGATTCATATCGGAAAAATTTCAAGTTTAATTTTGAACACAGTACCAAGGAAAAAATCCGAGTCGACGTGTTACACTAATTTTAATAATGTCCGATATCTGCACTTATTTTGTATTTTTTGCTTTCCGGTCAATTTCCATGTCGTTTGATTGAAAATAAGAGGCAGGATTTCGAAACTTACAGAAGCATATCATTTTAAATAAGAGTATTGGAGATCAATTTAATGATTTTGAATGCACTATATAGTTTACACTCCAGAAGAATTATTTTTAAACGAGAATCGATGTACAAGAAGTACTGTACTTCATATTCCATCGTGAAATTTTCTGAAAGAATTTATTCAAATCATTCGTCAGGCGGATTTAAGGTTTACTGGCAGATTCTTGTAAAATTAAAAATTGAAATAAAAATTCGTGAGTTTCGAATTCCATAAAGACGACGGCGTCCAAGAAAGAATTTTAAACACGGCGAAAAAATTTTACTTCAAAAATGAAAAAAAAAAAAAATCACCAGCTCACATCTTTCCCTCTTGGATAATTAGAAAAAAGCAAACGATTATAAAACAGGGACAAGTGGTAGGCTCACGTGTTTGCCAATTTTTCCAGTACCAGCTGCCACATCTAAAATTCGCACGTGGTTTCTGCGGTCACTTGGCAGTAGTTTCGCAACAGCTTCAGCCGCGTAAAACGGGGCCCGGTATCTTTCTTCGCTGAAATCCTACGCAAAAAAAAAAATTAATGCAACGAATGAATCGAATAAAAACCAGAAATTTATTGCAACAGAAGCCAAATTCTTGACTCAGGCTTCAACAACGACCTATGATTGTTTACAGTCCTTGCCAACTTTTCTTCAGTATTTTTCGTGGTTGTTTCATACTCAGAAATTCAAGCTGAACTGTTTCATCCAAGGAATACGCGTGAAAATAATGTCGAAAATTGGAACAATCCTTTCAGTAATCGCATAATATTATACAGTAATTGAATAAATCAGATATTTACGTATTTTTTAAAATTTTATGAATTCACAAACCTCGTCGTATTGATGAGACCATTTTTCGTAGATTTCCATGCATTTGCTCACGTCCCATGGTCCACAAGCAGCTGCTGAATTGTGCTTCGAACGCTCTTCTGAAGCTGCTCCACTGTTGTCAATTTTATTTGCCATCTGTTTCTCAATTAAACACAGGTGAGTTTTTGGCAGAAAAAGGCAGCTGCGCGCTAAAGCCGAAAGTTTTACCTGGAGGGGAGTAAGATGAATTTCGGAAAATTACTTCAACCTGAAACATGCGATGCACATTGAAGGTGTGCAAAATAAGCTTCCTTGTCGTCCATCAACATTTGACGAAAGCTTTTGAATAAAATTGAAATTTTGCATTAATTTGCTTCGAAGTCGACCAAATCATAATGCGATATGGTTGACATATGAAGGGCTTCTGAAATGGAAAAATGCAATACGCATTCCACCTAAAAAAAATTATTCGTTGGTGAAGAAAATATGAATAAAATTTTTTTAACCTTATAGAAAATAAATAGCTGTTCAAAACTTATATAACAAGTCAATAACCATTAGGGGTACATTTGCATATATTTTCAAAGTTTCATTTTTGTAAAGTTTAAATAAATCACCCGTGGAATCATACCACGTTTGAATTAAATGAACCCGCTTGAAAGATAATATTCTTCAGAAATGCGACTTTATTTGGTTGCGATTTACAACAGAGAGCAAAAATGAACCGCGAAAATATTTTTCAAATGCAGAAGGAAACAAGACCATCCCGATGATTTCAACTAGAAGACGCTCATATTTTGTCTTGGCACATACGAATTTCTGGCATTTTGGATAAAATAAAATAAATATTTGAAAATTACGTGAGCGTTATATGAAAATGGTTAGATTATGTTTTCTAATTAAAATAATAATGCATCCATTAATACCCGTGTGAAAATAAAATTTATTATTCAGAATCACATATTTTTCTAGGAATACAAATGAGCAAATTTTTGCTGCCAGACCTATTTACATTTAAAGTTGAAATTTAGTCAAAATGCGGCAAAAACTCATATGCGAAGCTCATGAATATTTGATGTTCCTTCTTTTCCCATGAAACCTTGAAAAAAAAACCATGTTCGATTCCCGTCAGGAAATTCCTTCGCTTCCAAGAGATCCAACTAACCTCGAGATAGGAAAACAGTCCGGAAATATTTCAAATTATTCAAAATTATATAAACATCCAGTGCTGTGGGAACGAAAGCTGGCCCAGAATAATGAACATGGACGAATGTGGAATTTCGAAAATCAGATAACGTCCTAGTATTTGGAATGTACTTTTTTTGCTACATTGATATAATGCAGATAATAATCAACAAAGTGCCTAAGAACAAGAAGGTGCTTTTAATTAATAATTTGATCTGAATCAGCTACATACTGTATTATGAACTTTTCAAGACGTGGATTTCCAGCGAAATATGCTTTCTCATAAAGCTGATTGAAAGACTATATGCGACAAAAAATTTGCAAAGCTGACAAAAATTGAGGAGCAATACCTAATTACAGCGGACAACTCGTCGCAACCGAAAATTGAAAGCCAGGTTCTGTATCGCGTGTGGATATAAACATCCTGAAATATTCGTAACAGCCATGCTTAAATTGCCATGAGAATTGAATCGGGATTTTAAAGAATGGAAGACTATAAATATAAACTTAATTTAAGATGTAACCGAGAGGGGAGGTTCACCTATATCACATCTATTCCTGGAGAACCAGTGTTGCGTAACAGAGCGAGTCCACTTTAATCAAAGAAACTACTGTATTAATAATAGCTATCTAATAATCTGGACTTTTGAACATTTCGAACAACTTGGTCCAAACTCTTGAAAATTTCAAAATTTTAAAATATTGCATTTCAATATTTTTAAAGATTTACACAATAAGGTTTATTTTCTACGTTGGCTGATAGTATTTATGAAATCCCCATGAACTCGGATAGCAACAACTGGAATAGCAACAAGTCGCAAACCAACAAATTTTACCTTGCAACAACTTGCACAGTGTGACAACTTGCACACTTTTTTGCTTACTTTCTTTGTGTACAATTTTTCAATTCTTTATTTGCAGATTGTTCCTTTTCTGGGGGGAGTTTAAATGTATGCTAATGCTAATTCCTTAGACTTAGGACAGTCAAAAAGCCCTTATGTTTCAATGCACTGTTTCAATCTACGTGAAAGTGGTGTCAAGGTATTCAATTTCAAAATCCTTATCCAATTTAATTTTAGAAATCCAAGGGCTCACACCTCCTCTGAATGCCACTTGGAGGATATCAACCCTTGGATGGCAGAGGGTTCATTTCCATTGTAAGGCAAAGTTGGGATTTTTTTTGGGAGATGGAGCATTTCAGTTTGACCCAAGGTTGCTGAAATGCTCCCAGGTTGAGAAGGCCTAAGTCAGGAAAATCTGGGAGACAAATTCGATTTTGTTTCCAGGAATTTTCCATGCTGATCTTATGCCAGGAATGCAAGAAAAAAACGCAACCCAGTGAGGGATTTTTAAAATATTTTTATCAAAAACTTCTGCTGGATTAGAAAAAAAAATGTTGGACTTTTTTACGACTTAGGCCTTTATGTGAAAGTTGTATTTTCTTAATTCCCAGTTCTCAGTGCCAACAAAATTTTGCAAAAATATCCCAACTTTGCTGCACAATAGGCTTAAAGACCACCTGAACAAATACTATAGCTATAATACTTAGTCAAATGATGAATATCATAACTGATGAAGTGATTTTTGTATTTTATGTCCTCTGAATATTTTATGTCTCTGAAACAGAAGGGCTCCCTGACTGTCCTTTTAAGGGATTAGCATACATTCAAACTCCCTCCAAACAAGGAGCAATCTGCAAAGAATGAATTGAAAAATTATCTGCAAGAAAAAGAAACGTGCGAGTTGTCGCTATCCCAGTTGTTGCAATCCAATTTTTCCTGTAACCAAGGCCAATGAATGTGCCTTATTAAAGGAAAGTGTAATAAATGGAATGGATGAGCATGGGAACCTGGAAAATACCACACATGATGAAGTTTAGCAGAGATCACATGAAAGGCAT